TGAATCATTCTAACCGGATCGCATTTCTCGCAAAAACCAAGCTTCCATTTTCTGCACTTTTTGCTCCGAAAACCAGTCCGCAGTGGCTGGACCTGCCTTTGTTAAAAGCTAATCAGCACATGTTCCTATCAATAGGAATCGAATGTTTTTTGAATAATTCAAAGCGGTTGATCCGCCGAAAACGTGAAGAATTGTATCCACACATAAATGTACACACACTACAATTGACTACGCGGCGCTTATGCGCTTTGATATTTCGACTTCAAATCAGCTACACAGCGCAATTGCTTATAAATATTTTCAAAAATTTTCAAAAAAAATTTTAAATACAAAAAAAGAAAAATATAAAATAAATCATTTTTTTCAAAAAAGTCAATTTAATTTCTCGAAAATCTAATTGTTTGAAAGTTTTGCAAAGTTTTTTTTTAATAATTTAGTTTTCGGTAGGAAAAGCAATTTGCCTTGAGGCACGATGCCATGCACTACTAGTTTTTTATTTTACTTGAGCCCTCCATCTACAGCGACACTTTTCTAAATACAAAGGAGTGGTCACACTTATGGTAACTAGATACACAGAAATCTATTTTATTAGGAGTGATAAATTGTATGTTTATGTACTAAAGATAACATTTGTTAGTAGAAACAGATTAAATTATTCCTTTTTTTCAGTATGAAGATCTTGGGTCCAACGTAGTAGGTGGGCGAAGTGATTTTTATTTACTTTTGTGTAGTAATTTATATGAGTTCTCTCAGTACAGGAAATAGGTAGTTTTAACGGATATAAAAATTAAAATAAAAACTAGTTTTCATTGATAGTTTTGGTAGGAGTAGGTATCCACTTTCGACTATTTAAATCCGGCTCGTTTGGTGATATACAAGAAATATTTATGGTCGTATATAATTTCTTGAATAACTTTATGAATGACAAATTTCATATGAAAAATTACTACACGAAAGTCGTATGTAAAATTTAAAATTATTAATTAGCTCGTATTGTGCTTTTGCAGCCGCATTATTTTTGTAAATAAATTAATGGAAATAATACTTTGCTAGCAAAAAATATATGATCAATTATAATAATATATAATAAAAATGTTTCAACTATCTCAATTTATGTGATAACAAAATCTCCAATAATTTGCATATTTCAAATAGCATCAATAAAATTTTATCTGAATATGTAATATTTCTTGAATATAATATTTCAGAAGCAATGGATATGTCATTTAATAAAATCGTGTGTCTTTGCATTTAATACGCGTGTGCGCCGATCCTACCGATTTATAATGTATTGAAAATATCAGTTTGCAAAATGCGATCATACAAAATGAAATGTCTATGATTTCTTATGTCACTTTGCTACATCGACAATTCCAAGAATCACGTAATATATTGAAAATCTACATCATTTCAATCGAAACCGAAGAATACTACATATCCTATACATACTAATATACATATGTGTATATTATAGTTTTTCTTAGAGATTTTGCTTTACATATAATAAGTGATTTTTTAAAATAGTTGATATAGAATTGAAAATGAAACCATATGTAATTTTAATAACTGTGGCGAATGTTTGCTTTTTTTGGTCATAGATATTTAGTTTAATGAAAACATTGATTCAGATTATCAAAGAATTTTTTGGGTATCTTAAGATTTATCATGAACAGTAATCAAAAGTCAATTCTTAAGTCATTGTGCTTATTTGACTCAATACATATTTATTTACAGATAGTAGCCGAAATAGTTTTCTAATTTCTGCGTGATAAATTTTATTATTACAAATTCAGTAATAAAATATGTATTAATACAGCAATACTATTTAAAGCTATTTTTATTATGAAACACATTGCTATCTATATTTCCAAGTGAAAACCGATGGTACTACTGCTTGACATCAGGCTGCTCGAAACGGGATCGATCCCGAGACCTCTGTTTCAAATATAGTCGCTTATCTACAAACAAGTCCTACATATACGTGTATGTGATGGCTATATAAATAATTATGAAATTACGATGTATAGAATAAAATTGATGAATGTAATATATCTATTGCTATTTAGTTCAGATTCATTATGAATAGAATAAGATTGATTCTCAAAATCACAGTCAAAGGTCAATGATGATTTTTGTATTTTACAGAAATAGAGTTTTTGAGAGAACGGAGCATTCGATTTGAATGATGCAAAAAAACATTCAATTCGTATGATAGGGAGAAGTGGTAATTAGTTTTTAGCAAAGGCACGTCCAGTCGTTTTGGAGAAACCGAGCTAAATGTGTAAAATTTGCAGTATATTCCTCGAACATTTTGTTACGGTACAGGAAGTTCTAGCAATTTGCCTCAAGGCACGATACCATTCACCGCTAGTTTAGTTTTTGTTTAATTTATAAATGAAATATAAGTGGAACAAATGTTTGCCGCTTAAAATATTGAAATAAATCATAACTAATCTTAAGTTTGTCTAATTATTTAATCGGTATATTTTTAGTTCAGATTAACATGCTGTGATGAACAACTTGAAAGTGAATTGAAACTAGGTGTAAATTTAAAAAAAGGAGATGATAGACTAAACTTTGGTTTGCAAATACATACACTCACATGCGATGTCAAATGATTCAGATTGACTTGATATGTTTCTCGACTTATCACAAAATTAGCAAAGCTGATGAAAACAAAATTTCTGGCGTGAACATAAAACTTCTCCTTCGGAAAGTTATAAAATAACAATACATTCAGTTAGTAGATCTATTTACCATTCATTTTATTACCCATCAGAGTTGAAATTAATTTACAATAACAATAGAGAAAATCTATATACCGGATAATAATACGATAAATATTTTTTAAAACAATTATTATATTCGAAACCTTTAAACAAAAATACTTATTCTCATTCTTTAACAACAAGTCTTCTCATTAATAAAACTTACAGAATTCGGAAACAATACAATAAGTAGTAATTTGAAAAATCAATATCATCGAAACAATTTCAAAAATCAACTATTCTATGCGATACATAAGATTGTGTACAAATATTAGATATCATTTAACATCTTTATATAGTGTTGGACCGGTTCTAGAATGGTGAATTGTGTAACTTCTTCAGTATTTCCGAACCCACAACAAACTGTTGGCTCAAACGGTGATTATTAACAACGGATGTTGTAGTTTCGAGTTAAAGAACGATTTATAACCCAAAATGTGTAAAGGTAGGCAGGGCTTAGATGGTAAATGAATCGGATACTTCGGACCACCCAAACATACTACTAAACATATGTGAAGGGATAAGCCGATAAAACGGACACCATTATCGGTATCTTCTTGTTTGGAGATGATGTTGTTTAGGGAAACTGTCGTAATCGTATTTCATCAAATTGTTTGATTGTATTTTTAAAATATTCGCAGATTGTATATGTATACAGTCAACCCTCCTATATCACGGTGAAAGCGTATGGTGTAACATGGAAACCGCGCTATAAAACTCTGATTTTACTTAAAAACCAGACAAATGAATAGCGTAATCAATGTAATTGCTCTCTGAGAAACTCAGAGTTGGCGCAAATTTTATTTTTAACACGTTATACATTATATAAATACTAATAGATGCAAGTGGTATTCAGCATTGACGCAAGTGGCATCCATCGCATTGTAAACGCACTATAGTTTGTTACGAACCACACTCTACATAAAGGCTTGAAAATAAGAAGAAAAAACTAGAAAATACGACAAAAATGACCAAACAAGGTCACTCAATAAAATATAATATTTAAACGATTTAAGTAAGAAATCTTCTACTCGAAGATTAAAAGAAAGTACATACGATCTAACATAAAATGTAAAAAAAGCAAAGGATATATCACATTGGAGATAAATTTTGTAAAGGCATAAATACCTGCACATTGTGATGAAAAATAATGTATAGTTTGATTGACAATAAATATACATACCAAAAAAGATGCATCAACAATCCGATATCTGCAAATATTCGATTAAATCGATAATATATTGTTGGGTTTGCAAATTCTTCAATTATGTATGTCAGATAAATTACATATTTTAACTTACCATAGGGTAAGTTATAGTAATCGCAAAAAAATCGAAAATAAAAATAAAAAAATTAATATATGTTTACGTATTAGAGGTTACTGAACATTTTGGAATACCTAAGAAAAATGGATGTGTGTGTTTGTGTGTGTGCGGATACATATATTTTTCGATGATTTCGGGAAGACGGGAACCGATTTGAATAATTCATAAAGCGTTCGATTCGCATCGATAAGGGAATGTGCTGATTAAGTTTTGGCAAAGGCAGGTCTAGCCGTTTCGCGGGGCAATAGGAGCCAAAAATGGCAATTCAGTTTTTGAGAGAACGGAGCGTCCAATTTTAATAATTCAAAAAATATCAAATCATCAGATTTTTTAAAGATTTTAGTAATGAGTATGAATTTTATTTACATTTCTATGGATTCAGTTCAATCAATTGTTTACGATGTTTATCCCTCACGCGTCGAAAAAAAATTCAAAATTTCCAAGATAATGTATAAACAAAATTCAATTTTTTTTTTAAAAAAGTCTAACTTTCCAGTTCCAACAATTTGCCTTAAGAAACGACGCCATCCATGCACCACTAAATTTGGCAAATGCCGTTGGGGTGTGGCGCATCTTACCAAGCATTTATTGGCATAGACACTGAACGCATAAAATGCGTCATAAAAATCATCATTTTTTATTAACAATTTATTATGAAGTAACTGTTCGGCCACTCGTCATGAAAACTCATCAATGCATCATCAAATATCTTTAACATTTCTGAAATCTGTACTTCCCTTTTTTGAGAAAACCGAAACCATGTCAAATTTTGGCTCACATACGCACCCGAGAAGTAACGCGTCAACAACGATGCCGACAGGACTGGACCATGATTTTTGCCACATAATAACATACACAACAATTTATTGCAACAATTATCAACTAACGACTATAATTGATCACTCACCTTTTTTATTTGCAAATGTTTTTTCATAAAATCTCACACTATACACTACACACTATACTACACACGACCTTTGATCCGATCAAAAAGGCACTCGGAATAACCAAAACGAACGACCCGAACACCACGAATGTCACCTGATAACTGATTTGCAAGATTTTTAATTATTTATTTTTCATATCTAAGTGTTGCCATATTTGATAACAAATTCTATGTACGTAGTCATAGACCATTACTATGCCATCTCGTGGACGATAACACAACCTGTCCGTTTTCGCATCAGGTAATTAGATAATTAAACATTGCAACAGGATAAATAGTCTTTTTCCGCCCTCTAGACGTACAAGGTCTCACTATTGAATTCTGATTTCAACTTCGATTCATTTTGCATCTGCGTTCGAAAAATTAGTGAAAAAATAAATAAGTTATATGAAGTGTAAAGTGTTTCTACGTAAATCTGCATTTTTGTTTTAACAAGGTTTAAACATATAGTTTACCAGCTGTACCCGATTACGCAATGCTGTGGTATGCATGTAATTAAAAATCTGAACAAAAATGCAGTTTTGTTACTTGTAGTTATTATGATAGGAATGGAAATAGCAACATCTTGACGAAAAAATAGATAATGAATGTTGGTGGTTGAGGTTCACTAGAAATAGCAGGGAATGAAATATACCATTAAAAAACAATTTCTAAGAGATTCATACTGCATTTAATATGAATTAGTTTATTGTGCTGAAATTTTCTCATGGATATTTAAGTTTCACATTTCTACATAGTATAAACAATCTGTTGAATATAAATTTAGGTATCCGAATATTGTTGTTGGTGTACTCTAGGTAAAATATGCAGTTTCATGTATCATTTCACGTGTCGTTTATACATAATATGAGAAAATGAATTGTATATATTTTTCGTATTATAAAAAATGAAGTTAAAATAATTTATCCAAAATATTGAAAAAAAAAATGTAGTATTTATCAATCCTTTTAAAGTGTGGTATTTATTAAGTAAACCTTTTCGGAATGATATATCTAATAATTTCCCAATTTTGTTCGGTGACTGGATGTATAGTTTTTGAATTCCTAGAGTACAGACAGACAAACAGACACATTTAATCTTATATTATATTGATAATAGATAAAAAATTAATCATTGACTGAAGCGAGATGAAAAATTATATAAAAAAGAAATATTAAGGTCAAATTCCACTTTTATCAATATCTAATAAAAGCCAAATGCAAAAATATTCAGACTTAAATTACATAGTTTTCAAAAATAGCCAATTTGTCTATTCTGAGCAAAGATTTGTGGTTGAGATTCTCTTGATATATAATTAAAAAAAAACTCTTATAATAAGGTTTAAGAGTTTAAGTTCCTAGCGTTCCAAGCTGATAATATTTATATTAACTTCCCGTAGGGTAAGTTATTGTAATGGGCCGAAAATCGGAATTGAAAATTTTTACATTTCTCGACGTTTTGAAGGTTTCTGAACGTTTTGGCATACCTCAGAAAAAATGGATGTGTGTGTGTGTGTGTGTGTGTGTGTGTGTGTGTGTGTGTGTGTATGTATGTATGGATACAAATTTTCGTCCACGTTTTCGGGCGTACGGATCAACCGATTTGAATGGTTTAAAAAACATTCGATTCCTATTAATAAGGAGAAGAGCTGATTAGTTTTTGGCAAAGACAGGTCCAGCAGTTACGGAGATAAGGAGCAAAGAGTGAAGAAAATAGAAATCGAGTTTTTGAGAGAACGGAGCATCCGATTTGAATTATCTGAAAAACATTCCATTAGTAATGATTGGGAGAAAGGGTTATTAGTTTTTCGCAAAGGCAGGCCCAGCCATTTCGGAGATACAGAGCTAAATGTACAAAAAATGGCAGTTTTTGAGAGAACTAAGCGTCCGATTCAATTGATTCAAAGAACTTTCTGCTTGTCTTAACAAAATAATTGATTTTGGAAAAAAAAAATTTGTACCATTTTTTTTTTTTTTTTTTTTTTTTTTTTTTTTTTTTAATTTTTTGTATATCGAAAATAATTCAGATTTTATTTTTAATTCTGACTATAGTTCTAATATACTTTAAACAAATAATTTCAACTCTGCAATTCAGTTTATATAATTCTTATAAATATTAGACAATAATACAATATTTATAATAATCTATTTGAAAACATTCAATATTCCTCGAACGTTTCGTTACGGTACGGGAAGTTCCAGCAATTTGCCTTAAGGCACGATGCCACCCACCCCACTAGTTTATATTTTACAATAATTCCAATATATCATTCTAATATATGTAATATAACAATTCGGATATATCTAAATTAACTTACATTTTACACTAATTATAAGTCTAGTATAGAAATATTGTTTAATCTCCTAGTATAGAAATATTGTTTAATCATATACTATTCTATATATTCATAACACAAAAAACAAGGTTTATTTTTTTTATTAAATATAACACAAATTTTTAGCTAGGGTCTAAATCTGGAAGAAAAGTTAAAACCTAAATATTCATCAATGTTGTAAAAAACAACTTGTTTAAAAAATTTATCAATTAATTTATAAAATTTCTATAGCATTAGATCTAGACCATCTAAAGTATTAAATAAAAATGAGAGTTTTAATGTGGGATCTTTAAGAAGTTTATATCTTAGGTCGTAATAATTTGTTTTGGGATTTGAATTCAAATTAAACACATTGGCATTATTTTTTATGAAACAAAGATCAGCAAAAATGAAAGGAACGGTTAGGATTTCGCGCTCATGGAAAAAAGGTAGACAAAATGTAGTGGACGATATGTATCTATGATGATAAGATAATATAAGCATGGGGAGTTATCTTCGAACAAATGCGCGTTGCACTGTTTTGGTCCTGAGTAGTTTCAATTTTTAAAAACAGATGGCTCATGTGCACTCAATTTCAACTACAAATTGTTCGTGGTTCATGCAAGTGGCTGTCAAGTATTTGATCGCTGTATGGCTGTACGAATAACCTAACTTTTTGAACTCGTGTTGTTTCTAATTAATTAATTTTGTTTAAGTGAACATTTGTGAAATTTAATATGGCAAAGTGTTTTTATAGTACCCAAAAAAGTGTTAAGTGCGGGTTAAATATTTAGCTATTCCAATACAAGTTTCCGCAAAGGTATTTTTTAATAATAATTGCAGCAATAATTATATATAATCAAGATATGTCAACATGTTATTATATTGAATAGGTGTCTTGGGGGTACCTGCAAATCGCTGCAAAATGCACGAACAAAGCGCAGGAGTACTTTTGACAACCAAAGAATGCAATATGTAATGACAAGAAGGATTCATAAACAATGCATTAATTTAAGGAATAAGTCGTACAAAAAGTCTCCAAAGGTCTACTATTTTTGGAGACAAATATTTATTTTGCCATATCCTCAAACATTGAGAAAGTTGCATTCAGAGATACAAGTGTATAGCGGTATTTATGAGTGTCTATTTAAAACATTAGGTTCAGCTATTTCTTTTAAAAAGTATTAGTAGCAGATACTGTGTTTTGATGTTTGATTAATTACCATTATCTTCGGAATTGTTATATGATTGGATTGAATCTCATATTGTTGAAGTTGCAAAACAGTTATTCAGCTAGTATGGTTTAAATGTTCATCAACGTAAGTTCATTGTTATATTTAATAAGATTATCTATTACATTAGCAAATGTAAACACTTATAAAGTAAACTAGTATTGGTTTAAATGTTCATCAACGTAAGTTCATTGTTATATTTAATAAGATTATCTATTACATTAGCAAATGTAAACACTTATAAAGTAAACTAGTATTGGTTTAAATGTTCATCAACGTAAGTTCATTGTTATATTTAATAAGATTATCTATTACATTAGCAAATGTAAACACTTATAAAGAGAGTCTATACCATACATAATATTTTAATGTATTTTGATTGAAGATTAGTGTTATAATATTCTTCAAATAAAACTTGTGTAACATCCCAATATAATGTTTAAATTCAAGATATATTTGTTACCGACCTTGGGAATCAAAAATATTGCTTTTATCTTTTGATTCATAAACAATTGTATGTACATAAAACATTATTCTGTTCATTGTAAACACTTTGTTGATCTTTTATGGCAATTTCAATGATAATGTTTTCATGATGGAACATGGCTAAATGTAATGTTATAAAACACTCGTACAGAAACTATTCAAAGGTTTTGTTAAATGCAACTTTACTATTAATTCATTAGATAGCGAAATAACTATTACATGCAGAATTAATAAAGAACAATGTCTTGTAAATGAGTTTTAATCCTAGGAATTTGAATTTCTCTCAATTTTGATATCAATATATATATTTTATGTTTTTAGGACTTTTTTGTTTGTGAAGTATTTGTACTTTTTAACAAATTATTTGTTTTTTTTCTTAACCCTTTAAATTTTTGTATTATTTGTCATTCCTTCTAAATTTGTAATTTCATTGCGTGCTTCTGTGCTTGTAGTTTCTTCTTAGTTTTTAAGATTTTAATATATTAATATTAGTCATTAAGTAATTAATATTAGTCAGTTATTTGTGCTTAGTTTAGTTAAATACTTCTGTGATTTTCTTCACTTAGATATTTAGTTTTTAAAATATTATTTAAGCATAATTGTGAAATTATAATACTTTTATAATTATGAATAATAATTATTATATTTTCAAACATTCCATAACTGTAATTATAATTGTTAATATAAACATAATTTTAATTGTTCTTTAAACATATGTAATATCTTTGAAAATATATATTTTGTATTTCGTATGATTTGTTCTTATTTCCAATATTAAAAATTATTCAGGTTTTTGTGCCTGTATACGGTACGTACAAATTAAGAAGTAAAACGAGGGGTAATTAAAATATTATACATGTGCTGCCATCTATTTTTAAAAATTTGTATTTCAATCGAGGTAACGTCAAACCGCCAGACATAGCGATCTATTATACTTGTTTATCTATGAATATAAGTACATGTTGAACAATTCTTCAGTTTTAGCAAGTCAATTTTTTTATAATATTCTTACTGTTTGTTATTTACACAAATATTCATCCTGCAAAATATATTGGGGAGTAGTGATCAATTTTGCACT